AGCTACAAGCTGTGGTACAACTACCTGAAGCAACGGCGGAAGCAGGTGAAGAGCCGGTGTGTGACCGACCCCGCGTATGAGGAGGTGAACAACTGTCATGAACGTGCCCTTGTCTTCATGCATAAGGTAGGGGGAAGTGCAGGCTGGGGGGGCTGAGGAGCAGTGGGGCAGGCTAGGGGGCTGCATGGGGCTGGGGAGAATGCAGCAGGTGCAGGCTGCACAGGGACTGGGGAGAGTGGGGCAGGTGCGGGCACTAAAGGGGCTGGGGAGATACTGGGCAGGCTGCTGGGTCCCTCTGGGGCTGGGGAGGGTGGTTGCAGGGCAGGCCAGGGGAGGAACGGTGCAGGTTAGGGACCCCAGCCCTGCTTCTGGCCTCGTTCTGCCCCACTTGGGACAGGGGATGGCTTTCCCCTTGAGGGTTATGCCCCCTCCCATGCACCTGGCTCCAGGGAAGCATTGAGATCTGATCAAACTTGTTGCATAGGTGTCCATAGTACAGGCATCTTTATAGTGGTGGGGAGGGGGCAATCTGCTTTGTGGCTGTCACAGCAAGCCTTGGGGGATTGTCAGGGCTGGGGGGCACAGAGACGTGCCCCATGCTCCTCACATCAGTGCTATGAGGTGCGGGGCACTGCCCACAGATGCCGCGCATCTGGCTGGACTACTGCCAGTTTCTGACGGAGCAGTGCCGTGTGACCCGCACGCGCCGCACCTTCGACCGGGCGCTACGGGCGCTGCCCATCACCCAGCACCACCGCATCTGGCCGCTCTACCTGGCCTTTGTGCGTCGGCACCCGCTACCTGAGACTGCCGTGCGTGTCTACCGCCGCTACCTCAAGGTGAGGCCTGGCCCCCTATTGCTCCCCTTGTTGGGCATGTCGGCTGTGGGATGGAGGGTCCTTGTTGGCTGTGGGTTGGGTTTGGGGAATGGAGAGGGGCTGCTCTGTTGGGCCTAGGAAGTAATGGGGAGATCCTACTGTCCATGGGGGGGATGGGAGCTGGGGCAGGTGGAGGTTCCCTATTAGCTCTGGGGTAGGTTTGGAGGCCCATGGGGGTGTTGGCAGGGGTGCTGTCAGCCATGGGGGTAGGAGCCAAGGGCCTGGTGGGTCCCTGTCCGCTCTGGGCTGGGTCGGGGGGGGGGTCCAGGGTGGGGAGAGGGCCTCCCCTGTTGCCCCTGGGGGGTGTTGGGGTGCCCCTGTCAACTGTGGGTTGGGAACCTGGGGGGGTGGAGACGGGACTGGAGGGTCCTTATCAACTCTGAGAGAGGTTTGGAGGCCTCGGGCGGGGGGTGTTGGGAGGACATGGCTGTGGAGGTGGGATATGTAGGGGTGACCTAGGGGGGTGGATTTGGGGGGCCTGGGGGATGCATGACCAGATTGGACTGATCCATGTGCCCTCCTGCAGCTGAGCCCAGAGGGGGCAGAGGAGTACATCGAGTACCTGCGCTCCATCGACCGCCTGGACGAGGCTGCCCTGCGCCTGGCCGCCGTCGTCAATGATGACAAGTTCGTCTCTAAGGAGGGCAAGTCCAACTA